TTGGGTCACGGGGGTCGCTGGTGCCCATGTCCAGCAATCACTGTGCGAGGGGCGGGGGACACCCTGGACGGGTCGCAAGTCCATCACAGGGCCACATAGAGACAAACGAGACAAACAACCATTCACTCTCACTCACACCTAGGGACAATTTAGAGTTACCAATCAGTCTAACATGTATGTTTTTGGTCTGTGGGAGGAAACCGGAGTACCCGGAGAAAATGCCAGCTACATGAGAGCATATAAAGTAAAAAAAATGCACACAACGTTGGGAGCATAATATAGCAACAGCCGCAATCTGCAGTACACAAAATGACAATTACTAAGGTGCCTACACATAATAAACATCAATATTAGAAAATACAAGCCTGTACCTTAATAAGTCACAACCCCGCTAACGGGTAAATTCAAACAGTTGCAGTGGCAATCTGCTACCCACTGGCACACATCCTAAAAAACTAATACAAGTCACTTTAAACAGAGCAACACAAAAGCAACAATATGCAGAGCAGCACTGACATAGCACCCAACCAGCCATAGGTGGCTCATCAAAAACATTTACCTTAACAGCAGTAGAAATTTCCCACTTGCCATTCAGGGCTTGTTACATTGCACTGTACCAGCGTTCACACTACAACCACATGTAGCAACAGACCAAACAGCCAACACACTGGTGAATCAAATATTTGGCGTGCACACCTAGTGCTTATATACACTAATGAGCCTAGCAACACTGAAGGTGGAGGCGGGGAAACAGGCATGGTGTGTTCAGGGACCCAACCAAGAGTGGGAATTTACAGCCACTTTTACATTGAACTAATAAACCACCCAGTTACATCCCCACCCCTATGGATCGGTGGCTCACCGATAAATCAAAATGCAACCAAGGCCGAAAAATGGCTGTAACCAGGCTGCTGGCACCCGAGACCACAGAAACAGCAGCCCTACTGTCTTCACTCCTAGCCTTTTCATCATGCCTCACTTTTCTCCTCTGGGCTGCCAGCTCCACTCTGCCTCTGGCAACATCTATGGCCACATTCAGGCACCTCCTATGCTCTGCCACCCAGTCACACATTCTGGGTGCCATAGGCTCTGGAAGATGGCCAAGCAGGAAATCCACAGGCAAGTGGGGTTCTTGTCCAAACATGAGGAAGTGGGGTGATTCACCTGTCAACTGATGGACAGTGGTGTTATAGTGAAAGACAAGCTATGGGAGGTGTTCTGGTCAGTTTCGTTTTTCATGTGGAGGAATGGAACGAAGCAGGTTGAACATAGTTCGATTAAAGCGTTCACACTTTCCATTTTCCTGTGGGTGGTAAGGTGTGGTACGACTTTTCTGAACTCCGTACAACTCGCACAACTGTTGCACCAAGAGACTCTCAAAGTTCCTCCCCTGGTCTAAATGGATGTGGGCCGGCACTCCAAAACGGTAAAGCCACTCATGAACCAGGACCTTTGCCACCGTAGCCGCTTTTTGATCATGAGTGGGGATAGTTTGAGTGAACTTCGAAAGCACGTCCGTCATCACCATCACAAGCTCCCTTCCACCATCACAAGCTCCCTTCCATCACGGGCTGTCTCCAACAGTGTAAAATCAATGGCCAGCAGCTGATTTGGTCTTGAAGCAAGGATGTGACCCATGGGAGCACAAACTCTTGGCTGGGTGCTTTTAGCAAGGGTACACCTTTCACACTGCGGGCACCAGCACCACCATCTTTGTCCATCCCTGGTCAGAAACACCTCTGCTTCACCACATCAGTTGTCCTCTCTATCCCTTGGTGACCATGATGTTGATGAAGCTCTTGCAACATCTCTGATCTTAAGCTCTCTGGAAGAAGGAACTAGAGAACCTCTTCTCCACCATCTGGTCTCTAGCTGCGCCAATACAGGAGGCCCTCCTTCTGGACAATTTGGTTCCACTGTTTTACAAGTCCATGGACACCTAGGCCCAGACACTCCTTCTCAGCACGGCTCTGCACTCTCTGCTGCTGCCAAAACTCCAGAAACATTGAGATGGCAGGGTCAGCCCTTTGAAGCACCTGCAGATCTCTGCTGCAGGATGGAAAAGCAGTGATTACCAACTGGACAGGATCTTCCCACGCCCCCAAAAACAGCTCACCAATTGCCTCTGGAATGACTGTTCCCGGGAGGTGGCATTCCAGTTGCGTTCTGTCCCCTCTTGTCTGTTGCCCTACCAACTAATCCTATTGGGCCTTGAAGGCTAATGGGACTCTGGAGGCAGCTGAGGAGTACCGGAGGGCCAAGCGGTGTGCAACCTTGGCTGTTGCTGAGGCAAAAGCTCGGATGTGGGAGAAGTTTGGTGAGACCTTGGATAGAGCCTCTCGGTCAGCTCCAAGGAGATTCTGGCAAACCATCATGCGGCTGAGGAGGGGAAAGCAGCACTTTACTAACACTATGTTCAGTGAAGGTGGGGTGCTGTTGACCTCAACCAGTGATGTCGTCAGGAGATAGAAGGAATACTTCTCAGACTTTCTCAATCCCACCAGCACATCCTCCATGGAGGAAGCTGAGTCGGGGGACTTTGGGGTTGATCAGTCCATCATCATGGCTGAGGTTGCCGAGGTAGTTAAAAAGCTCCGAGGCGACAGGACTCTGGGAGTGGATGAGATTCACCCTGATATTCTTAAGGTTCTGGATGTTGTGGAGCTGTCTTGGCTGACACGCCTTTGCAACATCGCGTGGATATTGGGGGCAGTGCCACTGGACTGGCAGACTGGGGTGGTGGTTCCCCTCTTCAAAAAGGGGTACCAGAGGGTGTGCTCCAATTATAAGGGCATCACTCTTCTTAGCCTCCCTGGTAAGGTCTATTCAGGGGTACTGGAGAAGTGAATCCAATCGTTGGTTGAACCTCAGATCCAGGAGGAACAATGTGGATTCCATCCTGGCCATGGAACACTCGATCAGCTCTTTACTCTCACTAGGGTCCTTGAGGGGTCATGGGAGTTTGCCCATCCAGTATACATGTGTTTTGTGGACTTGGAGAAGACATTCAACCGTGTTCCTTGGGGTACACTGTGGGGGGGTGCTCCATGAGTATGGGATTGGAGGCCCGTTGTTACGGGCTGTTCAGTCCCTATACAAGCAGTGCAAGAGTTTGGTTCGCATTGCTGGCAGTAAGTCGGACCCCTTCAGGGTGAGAGTTTGACTCCGCCAGGTCTGCCCATTGTCACCGATTCTGTTCATAACTTTTATGGACAGAATTTCTTGGTGCAGCCAGCTGGCGGAGGGTTTCTGGTTCGGTGGCCTCAGGATTCCATCTCTGCTCTTTGCAGATGATGTGGTCCTGTTGGCATCATCGTGCCATGATCTTCAGCTCTCACTGGAGCGGTTCGCAGCCGAGTGTGAAGCGACTGGGATGAGAATCAGCACCTCCACATCTGAGGCCATGGTCCTCAACCGGAAAAGGGTGGATTGCTCTCTTCAGGTCGAGGGTGAGGTTCTACCTCAAGTGGAAGAGTTCAAGTATCTTGGGGTTTTGTTCACGATTGAGGGAAGAATGGAGCGTGAGATTGACAGACGGATTGGTGCAGCATCTGCAGTATTGCAGACTCTGTACCAGTCTGTTGCGGTGAAGAGAGAGCTGAGCTGTAAGGCAAAGCTCTCTATTTACCGGTTGGTCTACGTTCCTACCCTCACCTATGGTCATGAGCTCTGGGTAGTGACCAAAAGAATGAGATCGCAGATACAGGCGGTTGAAATTAGTTTTCTCCGCAGGGTAGCTGGAGTCTCCCTTAGAGATGGGGTGAGAAGTTCAGTTATTCGGGAGAGACTCGGAGTAGAACCGCTACTCATCCACGTTGAGAGGAGCCAGTTGAGGTGGTTCGGGCATCTGGTAAGGATGCCCCCTGGGCGCCTCCCTAGAGAGGTGCTTCGGGCATGTCCAACTGGGAGGAGACCCCGGGGAAGACCCAGGACACGCTGGAGAGACTATGTCTCTTGGTTGGCCTGGGAATGCCTTGGAATCCTCCCAGAAGAGCTGGAAGAGGTGGCTGTGGAAAGAGATGTCTGGGCCTCCCTGCTCAAGCTGCTGCCCCCGCGACCCAACTTCGGAATAAGCGGAAGATGGATGGATGGATGTTTCAAATGGGAAAACGAACTGCCTGCATGTACACGGACCCATCTGGAAATATTTCACACTACCTCAGCAAACACATTTGACAGCTACGTGCAGTACGTGCACAGCAACGGCTCCAAGGGGTGGCACTAAAACTTCCAGCTATAACACTACCAACTTAATCAAGCATCTGTATCAGATCAGTATCGGATCGTATTGACTGATACTAAACCTCAGGTATCGGAAGGGAAAAAAGTGGATCGGTGCATCCCTACAGAGTATGTGTTGTGGGTAACTCTCAGCTACTACCACGCCAAGTGTGCAGCTCAGTGTTAGTAAAATTGTAGCCATTTTTGTCTTTGCTAAGATTGATTAGTTGTGGTAGCCATCTTGAATTCAAAATTGAACAGCTGTGGATTTAAATTCAATGATTAGTCTGAAAATTTCATTAAAGTCTCTTCAGTGGCTCATGATATTTTGCTAACAGACAGAATGCTAAAGTTTTAGGCAAATATTTCACACTGTGTGTAGTGTCTGACATTTGTTGTGACATAGCTACTAAAATTATCTCACTATCTACATAAATGTCAGAGTATTGGCCCTCTTTGTATTTTCTAAGATCAGTTAGCTGTGACGGCCATCTTGGATTGGGTTGGCTTCAAAGCTTAGTCAGTCATAGATGTACAACTCCCCAAACATTTCACCTAAATCTGTTCAGTGAAAAGTTTTTTACATTCAGCTGTGGTTGGTGACGATGTGAATCAAGGAAAATCCAGATTAGTGTAACCATGGATGCATTCCAGCTGTTGAACTTGACTTAATGCAGATGTGATTACAACGTTCAGGTTTGTCAGCAACTGCAGAAGACTGGCTTTCAGCTACGTATTGATCCAAAATGATAAAATCTTCTTGTTTTTTCTCCTTTCAGATGATTTATTTAAAGTTCACAAACTGAAACCAAACCTGAAGTGGCGGCAGGCCTTTGAGACATACCTGAAGACGATGCCTCCATACTTCCTCCTGGTAAACAAAAGCTCTTTTGTCTACGGCTTTAAGCTGTGCTTCATTTTTAACTCACTTAAAATTCCTCCCAACATTTTCTGCCAGCCCTTAAAAAAGGCTTTAAGAATGATGGGTGCACCAAACCTGATTGCGGACACCTTGGACTGTGGTCTGAGCTACAGCGTCATTTCGTACCTGAAGAAGCTCAGCCAGCAGGTAAATACGACTCACACACCTGGCTTAATCATTTCAGAAATATCTGAGGAAAAATGTATTCTGATATGAAAGTTCAATCAGAGTAAGAAAAACGTCTTAAACCAGTGGGCCGGTGTTGTGCCAAAAATCGATTAACTGCCAAATGGCGGTCGCGGTAGTGTGCACAGGAGGACTTCAACAAGAATTTAACAAGATTAACACTTAAAAACAATTATTTGTTTGCTCGACATTATAGCAAAGGTGTGTCTCAGTTTAACTTTTCCTTAATAAATGTACTTTAATGGTCAAATCAGCTGCATTTCACCTGGGCAGCGCGGCGAAATGCAGCCGATTTGACATTTGCTCCAGGAGTTCCGGAGCGAGACGAAGGTGGCTTTGTATGGCAAGCCAAGTGTCTCGTTAATAACCACTTTTACCTATTAATGAGACACTTGGCTTGCCATATAAGTCAAGGGCCCTCTAGTTTTCATTCATTCAACCTTTATTTAGACAGGTTAATCCCATTGAGCCTCGACGACTCATTTACAAGAGAGACCTGATTTCAACAAAGAATGATGACAACAATAGACAATTACAAAAGATGGCCCAAAAAAGTAGCAAAAACAGCTAGATTACAAGGCGAATGTAGAAAACTAAAAACAGGAACTTGTCTGCATTGGTCCTTGCCAGAAGTCCAACAGATACTTAAAGCCACTTAGAGAGGTCAAGGTCGAGAGCTTCAGATATTTTTGCAAGGTATTCCAGGAAACAGGAGCGGAGTAGGAGAAAGACCATTTGCCAAGTTCAGTCCGCACTGAGGGAACACTGCAGGTAATAATGTCCTGAAAGTGCACGCTGTAGCTGCACTCACACAGAGACATGTAGGAGGAGATGTATGAAGGCAGCAGACCAAGAAAGGATTTAAAGATGAAAGTGTACCAGTGAGAGTCTGCGTGAAGTTAATGATGTCCAGTTAACCAGTGAATACAGGGTGCAGTGGTGGGTACGATAATCACAGCCAGCATTCAGAGTTAGACAGGATCTGTTTCTGAAAAAGAAACCCAGTTTAACTTTCAGTTTCTTTACTAGGTTTTCCACGTGGAACTTAAAAGAGAGATGCGAGTCGACCAAGATACCCAAATATTTATAGGAATCAACAAACTCAATAGAGACACCATTTGAGGATAAAATTGAAGGAAGAACTGCTGGGACCAACTTCCTGTTTGAAAAAAGCATCCCTTTGGTTTTATTGGCATTTAAGACAAGTTTGAGGCGGAACAAATCTGACTGGATGATGTCACATGCGGATTCCAAAAGCTGGAAAGTCTTAGCAGCTGTTTTAGCTCGACAATAAATAATTGTGTCATCAGCATAGAAATATACGGATGCATCAGGGATGCTCTGACCTACATTATGTATGTAGATTGTAAAGAGGGTGGGTCCTAAGACTGAGCCTTGTGGTACGCAATTGTTGACTGTTAAATAACTGGAGGAAGTACCATTATGTTGAACACATTGCCTCCGGTCTGAGAGATAGTTAGAGAACCAACCAATGGTGTGTTCTGAGAAACCAATTTCTGAGAGTTTATGACACAAGATGTTCTGATCCACAGTGTCAGAATCTTTAGACAGGTCTAAGAAAAGTGCAGCACAATAATCCTTAGCATCCAGTGCTTCAACAACATCATTAAGAACCTTCAGTGAAGCAGTGGTTGTGCTGTGTTTTTTCCTGAAACCAGATTGATGTGGAGGTAAGATGTTAAATGAGTCCAGGTGATTTTTGATTTGAGAGTTTATCAGTTTTTCTAGAACCTTGGCTAAAATGCAGAGTTTAGAGATTGGTCCATAGTTGTTCAGTGAGGTGGGGTCTCCTCCCTTCAGCAAAGGAAGAACAAAGGCTGTTTTCCAAGTGTCTGGATGGAGTTTTGTCTTATGGAGAGATTGAAGATGTGGGTCACAGGGACTGTGATGATATGAGCAGCCAGCCTTAAGAAATAAGGTGGAAGTTCATCTGGACCTGCATATTTTTTAGGATCAAGATCTTTTAACAGTTTATTGACCTCACTGACTGAGAACGGAGTAAAAGAGAATGTGTGATTAACTGAGGATTGACTTGTAGGAGGGATTTGATTTGTAGAAGTTTGGTTATTAAGTGAAGTGGCTGATCTTCCATTAGTAACTGTGTCAAATAAAGAACTAGAAGCAACAAAATGTTTGTTGAAACAGTTCAGGATCTTGTGCTTATTTGACACAGGAACAGAGTTAACGAGAAGTTGTGATGGGAGGTCAGATGATTGGGAGCTGCCTGAGAGAGATTTGATGGTTTTCCAGAATCTGTTAGGGTCATTTAGATTTTTGGAGGTCTGAGATAAGAAATAGTTGCGTTTTGCGGCTTTGACAACAGATGTGCATTTATTCCTCATCTGTCGAAAACTCAACCAACCAGTGTCTGAGTCAGATTTTCTCACTGTGGCCCAAAGATGATCTCTCCTGTGCAGGAGGTCGGCTAGCTCTGGAGTAAACCAGGGGCTGTCTCGTCCCTTTATTCTGAACTGACGAAAAGGAGCATGTTTGTTCACAAAATAAATGAAACTATTATGAAAATAGTTCCAAGCGAAATTCACGTCATCAGTTAACAGAATACGATGCCAGTCAAAGTGAGACAGATCCCAGAGGAATGACTGTTCACAAAAACATTTCAGATCCCTTTTTTGAATTAATCTAGACTTAGAAGGTGGAAGTTTAATATCTCTGAGAGCCGCTCTCACACAATGATCACTCAAAATGTCAGCGAATACACCTGTACCAGGGAATTTGTGAGGCATATTAGTTAGAAACAGGTCTAAGATGGAGGACTTTTCAGGACAGTTTTTGTTTGGTCTAGTGGGAGAGTCGATCATTTGGGTTAGATTAAGAGACAGGCAACATTCCTTGAATTTATCACAGAGGGGGGCCGACTTATCCCAGTCAATGTTGAAATCTCCTGCCAAAAAAAATCTCTTTGAATTTTAAATTTCCAAGGAAATCCATCAGGGAGGACAGAGTCTCAGGTGTTGCTGAGGGAGGACGATAACAACCCACTACAGATAAAATCTGGCCTCCATTCAAAGGGATGTTTACAGCTAAGGCATCAATTTGGTTTGGAATTGTTTTAGAAGACACAAGACTAGAAACCAGAGAATCTCTGATGTAAATAGCGACTCCACCCCCCACCCCACCCCTTTTTTTTTTTTTGATGATCAAAGCGATAGATGTTAAATCCATTGATTACCAGGTCATTATTCAGTACAGACTTGTTGAGCCAGGTTTCAGAGATGAAGATTGCATCTGCCTCAGAAGAACTGACCAGAATTTTCAAGGCATCAAGTTTTCTCAGAAGGCTACGTGCGTTTACATGAAGAAAATGAAGCCCAGAGGCATTTTTAAAGTCATTTGGTGTGCTGTAATTAGTGGGGGGTCCAGGGTTGGGCTGAATCCCTGAGAGCAGTAACAACATTATTATCAGACATTTTCTTGAGTTTTTCATGACTGATGTATAAATACAGGAGTTAATAGTGTAACAATTAGCCCCCATAATCGAACCATGAGAAACATTAATGAAGACGTGATCATTCAGAATCCAAAAACAGTGAAAGTTGCAGTGATGGGCAGATCCAGGTGTATTAACAAGATTCAGTGACTCCAGATAGACTCCAATGGCTAAAAATGGTAGTGTTCAATATTTTCCATGTCAGAATGAATTAAATTGTCAGATCTCAGCCAAAAATTGGATTATAAATATGGAAAAAAAACATAAATAAGTCGCTTCAGTGTATAAGTCGCAGGACATGCAAATTTTGAAAAAAGGTGCGACTTACATGCCGGAAAATACGATACTCTTTTTTTTTTTTTTTTTTTTTTTTTTTTTATCCTAAATTTAAAATTTTGTTTCTTGCAAGTACTTTCATCTTGACAGATTTTGGTCCACATGTGAAAAAGACGCCCTGCCTTAAACTGTGTTTAAGTGAAACACTAACACGTTTGAACAGGAATCTTACCAGTGTTCTGAACTGGGTCAGGACAAATGCTGTGATTTTTCTCTCAGGGGTCACATTGTCAGGGTTTGGGTCTGAGGCAGGGTCTCTTCCAATGTCTCCTGGTGCTGCTGCTTATTGTTTGATCTGAGTGTGGATATTAAAATGTAAAACAGGAAGTTTAACCCCTCCAAAACAAAAGCTTGGGTCAGTTATCTTTTTGTTCCTGGTTGGTTTTCTGTTGTACTGAAGGCGAAAATCGAATCGGACCGTCTAATTGTGTCCGTGGGGAAGAAAGCTCCTCAAGAAACTGGCATAAAGGTGAAGAACCACTCCAGTTTACTCTCTCTGGCCCATCGGCGGGACTTCAAGCAGCTTCTGCAGGGAATCACCGGGGAGGGGCCCCTTCGCCTGGCGGACATCAACTTTAAAGAGTTTGCCGGCTTTCAGATCGCCCTTCCAAACAAGGTAGGTGTGAGACAGCAACATGAGGCAAGCCTTCTGTGTTTCATGGCAAACAAACAGTTTAAAGAGGATCCTCAATGTTAATGTGACCGCAGGAAGTAAAGCCTCAAACTTACCGCAACGCCTACGACATCCCAAGACGAAATCTTCTCGATCAGCTCACCCGAATGCGCTCAAACTTGCTGCGGACGTCTTTGAAACTAATCCAGGGCCAAGACGAAGGTGCGTTTCAGTTCATGACTGTGCTGTAGAAACACCAAGGCACAAACAGGATACTGCTAATGATTTCAAATAATCTGAGTTGTAATTGTTCTGTTAGATTCCCTGCACAGTATTCCAGTGGCTCAGATGGGAAACTATCAGGAGTTCCTAAAAATGATGCCATCTCCCTTGAGAGAAATCGACCCTGACCAACCCAAAAGGCTGCACACGTTTGGGAATCCTTTCAAGCAAGACAAAAAGGTAAGGAGTGATCTTACACCACGCTGTTCACAGCAGGTTTCACAAACATTCACACTTTGGCAATCTCCGTGTTGTCGCTTTACGACCTGGAACTTAAAAGGTACGCTTGTATCTTTAAATTTAGTTACTATCTCTTTGAAGATGAACATTTTTATTGTGAACAAAACCAGAAAAAATAAAGTTTCTTGAAGTTGGATGTGTGAATAGCCATCCATCCATACATCCATCCATTATCTTTACCCGCTTCTTCCATTTTGGGTCACGGGGGTCGCTGGTGTCCATGTCCAGCAATCACTGTGCGAGGGGCGGGGGCATGTCTCCAGTCCATCACAGGGACTCTCTCTCTCTCTCTCTCTCTCTCTCACACCCACCCAGGGACAATTTAGAGTCACCAATCAGCCTAACATGCATGTTTTTGGTCTGTGGGAGGAAACTGGAGTAACTGGAGAAAACCCACGCATGCACGGAGAGAACATGCAAACTCCACCCAGAAAGACCCCGGACCGGGATGTGAACCGGGGACCTGCTTGCTGAGAGGCAGCAGCTCTACCGGTTGCACCACCGTGCTGCCCCGATGTGTGAACATCAACCAGAGATGATCACATGGTCTGATGTCTGGGCTTTGATTGGACCATTTCAGGATATTTACACCACAGGTTTTCCTTTAACTGTGGTGTCCTGGACTCCGTCTCAGATGTTAGACCTTTCCCCTTCTCCAAGGATTATTATTATTATTATTTTTTTTTTTCCAAAAATTTTTATTTGCAGTTTTTATAAATAAAAATATGCCAAAAATCAAATTTGTATACAGTATTTGGTACAAATTGTTAACCAAAATCCAACACAACATAAAAAAGGAAATATATATATATATACAAAGTGCCCTTACATTCTCTAAAGGTTTGAGCAGTTCAGAATCTGATCATCTTCTGTCTCCAAGTTTTTGATATATAAGATGAAGGGTCTCCAAACTGTTTCAAATTTGTCTTTTTTGCCCTTCAATATATAAGTAATCCTTTCAAGTGGAAGAGTTGATGTCATATGTCGTAGCCATTGATTTGCAGTTGGTCTGTGGGACTTCTTCCAGTGTAGTGCTACACATCGTTTAGCAATCAAAAGTCCAATATCCAGGAAAGTCTGCTCGCTTTTCGTGTAGTTGTGCCTCTCAGAATAGAGCCCAAACAAAAACAACTTAGGGTCCATAATAATACATTTACTTATGATTTTTTCCATCATCACCTTAACTTCTTTCCAAAAAAGTATTATTTTTTCACAATACCACATACAATGTACTAATGTACCTTTCTGCATTACACATTTTGAGCACACATCAGGTATATTGTCATTATATCTATTTATATCCACTGGTGTTATATACATACGCATCAACCATTTAAACTGTATTAATTGAAGACGTGTATTAACTGATCGGGTATGAGCCAAAGAGCAAGCTTTCTGCCATTCTTCCTCTGTCAGATCTAATGACAGGTCATCTCTCCAAGCTCTGAGTCTGGCAGTGGAACCTTCTGAAATTTGAGATGTCATTAAATTATAAAAGTCTGAGATTATACCTTTTCTTTGGCTATCCTTTATCAACATTTTCTCTAGTGTTGTAAGAGTGGGTTTTAACAGCTGATTATTTTGTTCCTTCAATATAAAGTTTCTAACTTGGAGGTATCTAAAAAATTGATTTTTATTTAAGTGGAATTTATTTTGGAGCTCTTGAAAGCTCATTAGCACATCTGAGTCAGGCAAATAGAGATCTTGAATTTGTTCAATACCCTTATTGTACCATATTTTAAAAGCTACATCATCTCTACCGGGTATGAACATCTGGTTGCCCCAAATTGGACTGAATTGAGATAGACTATATGTGTCTTGTAACAGTTTGTTAACATCTCTCCATACCCTAATCATATTTTTAAGAATCGGGTTTTTGGTATTTTTTTGTAATTTTTTTATTGAGTTTGAATACAAGTATGAGGGAAATGCTAGCTGTAGTCCTTGAGCTTCCATATCTACCCATTGTGGAGGGTTGGAGGAATAATAAAATGACATAGATCTCAATTGTGTAGCCCAATAGTATACCTGAAAGTCTGGGCATCTTAGACCTCCACGATCGTATGGTAGGTACATTAAAGTTAGTCTGAGCCTAGATCTTCTATTTTTCCATATAAATCGAATCAACAGTTTCTTGATTTGCTGAAACATTCCAATAGGAGGCGAGAGGGGAACATTCTGAAACACATATAGAAATTTAGGCAATATTTTCATTTTGATTATATTTATCCTCCCAATCATGGACATTGTTAAGGGCATCCATCTATCCATGGAGTCATTTGTTTCCTTTATAATAATATTATAGTTTGCTTCAACAACTTGTTTGAGATCTGATAGAATTTGTATTCCCAGATACTCAAATTGTGATACAACATTAAATTGTAATGTCTCTGGGATTGGCGTCATTCTATCAGCTGCGCTGAGTAATAAGATTGAGGATTTTGTCTTATTGATTTTATATCCCGAAATTTCACTGAATGATGTAATTATATCGAGTATATATTGTAGAGATTTATTCAGCTTTGAAACAAACAAAATAACATCATCAGCAAATAACGATATTCTATGTTCAACGGGTCCAACTTTAATGCCAGTAAGGCGAGGGTGTGAGCGTACTGCGATCGCCAGGGGTTCGATGGCTATTATAAACAGCAAAGGGGAGAGGGGGCAGCCTTGTCTGCAGCCTCTTTTTATTTCTATTGGTTTAGAAATTATCCTATTAGTTCTTATTTCTGCAGTGGGTTTACTGTACAAAATTTTTATCCATTTAATAAATTTCTGCCCACATCCAACTCTCTCCAGCACCTTGAAAAGATATAACCATTCCACTCTATCGAACGCCTTCTCAGCGTCTAATGAGAGGAGGGCTCTATCTGCAGCTCCATTACTACTATGTATTATATTTAACACTCTCCGTACGTTGTGAAAGCCCTGTCTCCCTTTGATGAAACCATTTTGATCATCTTTAATTATACTTGGTAGGATTTTTTGAAGACGTTTAGCTAATAGTTTTGCAATAATTTTCAAATCAGAATTTAGTAAGCTGATTGGCCTAAAATTTTCACATTTATTAGTTGGCTTACCTGATTTTGGTAAAAGAGTAATCATGGTCATATTTAATGCAGGAGGGAGATTGTCAAATTTAAAAATTTCATTAAACATGTCTAATAGAGGAGCAGATAATTTGCTTTTGTATTTCTTGTATAAATCTATTGGTAGCCCATCTGGCCCTGCTGTTTTGCCAGATTTCATTTCTTCTATTGCAAGTTCTATCTCTTCCTTTGTAATATCCAAGTCTAGATTATTTTTATTTTCATCAGACATTTTGGGTATATCTAATTTACTTAAAAAATCAGAAATATGCTTTTCTTGGTTATTACATTGTGCATTATATAACTCTTTATAATAATCCCTAAATGCTAAATTGATATCCTCTGGATCTGTAAGAGTATGTCCATCTTTTATTATTGTTGTAATTGGTGATTTGCATTCCATTTTTTTAATTTGCCATGCTAATATTTTGCCTGCTTTTTCACCTTGCTCATAAAATGTCTGATTGAGTCTGAGCAGACTAGATGCGGCCCTGGAGGCGGCAAGTTTATCATATTCCGCTCTCCAGTATAATAATTCTTTATTTAATTGTTGGTTATTGACATAGTTGACTTTAATTTGTAACTCCTTAATTTTATCTTCCAATTGTTTTCTGGCTTCTTGAGTCTTTTTCGATTTATATCCAGTGTAACTTATTATATGTCCCCTAAAAAATGCCTTGAATGCTTCCCATTTAATGCTTGTTGTTGTCTGTATTGTATTAGTTTGAAAATAGAGATCAATTTGTTTTCCTAGGTACTTAACCAGGTCTTCATCTTGCAGCCACTTGTGTTGGAATTGCCATCTTGGAGGATCCTTTCTCAGTTTATTATCTCTATAAATTAAATAGCACGGGGCATGATCTGAAATTACTATATTATCATAAGAACAGTCAGATATTTTACTTTGTAGTTCTGCAGAAATTAGAAATAAATCTATCCTGGAGTAGGTTTGAAATACACTCGAATAGCAGGAGTAGGTTCTAGAAGCTGGATTTCTTTCCCTCCAAATGTCTAATAATTTTAACTCTTTCATGAATCTGTGTATTGTAGTTCTACAATTATTATGTGTTTGGTCAACACCAGTAGATCTGTCTATACTTGAATTGAGTGTACAGTTTAAGTCGCCTCCTATTAAATGTAGTCCTTTTAAGGACGATAATGTTAAAAATAAATCGTTATAGAATTTACTGTCATCAATGTTAGGGCCATAAATATTTGTTAAGATCAAGTTTTCTGATAGAAGGGTACCCTGAACAATCAAGAATCTTCCTTTTTTATCTTTAATAATATTCTGCACCTGAAATGGGACTGACTCATGAATTAACATCATGACTCCTCTAGATTGAGATGTATATGGTGCCGTAAATATGTTGCCCCTCCATCTTCTCTTAACTGACAAGCTGTTTTCATCAAGAAGATGGGTTTCTTGCAGGAATACTATTTTACTATCCATATATTTTAACTTATTCATAACCTGCTTAATTTTTTGAAGTCGTTGAAGACCTCTACAATTCCACAAGACTAATTTGAAATTATTTACTTGAGACATTTAGCCATTTTAAGAGATGATTACTCAATACCATTTGTATTTTCTCATTTAAGGGCACTGACAAAAAAGTTGTAAGAATATGCAACCAAAAATTAAAACATAAACTCAAACTTTCCCCATCCCTTCCCTCCCCTTCCCAGTCCTGGGAAACCCTCCCCATTATCACCTCGTGATAACTGTCCGGGAACTTCTCTGAGCCACCACTCAGGCCCCCGCCAAACATTTTAACGCTTAATTATTAAATGCTGTAATTATCAACCAACAGGGTATTTTTTTTACAATGAGTCATAGAAAAAATAATAGTAACAACCATTAAATAAAAAGTTATCCTAGCAACCATTTTTTTTTTATTTTAATCAACACAGGTATCTCTTCGAACGACCCAAAGCCTTATATATTTCAAATCAAACATGAAGGTTATTAAGCTGTACATTTTAAACCATGTCATATTTTTTCCTGAGAAATAATGATAATTGGTTGCTAGTTGAAAAATGTAGCTTCTATTAAACACATATATTTGCAAATGTAAACTTTATTAAATAACATAACTTTACCCTGAAAATTAAACTGGACTTGTTCACTCTCTCATCCTATTTAAAAACATTTGGCTGCGGTTCCATTCATAATTCAAGCTTATTCAGTAATTAGTTACCATCTCTCTCCTCAGGGATTATGTTTCTTTTAACATACTTCATCGCTGCCGCTGGATCCGTAAAGCTCTTCTCGTCTCCTTTGAAAGTGATGCGAAGTCGTGCTGGGAATGAAATGCCATATCGAACATCTTCCTTGCCACGAAGAAGTTGTCTCACTTCATTGAAAGCAGCTCTGGCCTTGGCGATGCTCGTAGTGTAGTCAGGAAACACCGCAATTCTCATCCCGTTGTACTGCAGTGAACCTCGGGCTCGTGCTCGATTCAGGATCTCGGCGCAGTCCTGGAAGTAGTGCAGCTTGGCGATGATGGTCCGTGGCTTGTCATCTTTCCTCACTGGCCCTGGAGTTCTGTGTGACCGGTCCACAAGCACGTCTTTGTCCAGTTGTAGCGACTCTCTAAGAAGTTTTGCTACCGCAGCTGTAGAACTAGAGCCGTTTCCCTCTGCCACCCCTAGAATTCTGATGTTATTTATTCGCATTCTGCCTTCCATATCCTCACATTTGTTTTTTAGTTCAGTCATCTCGCTTGTCAGAGTTTTTATTGTTGTTTGTAGAACGGTAACCTCGTTCGACCAGACAGAGAGGCCAGTTTCCAGTTCTTTGACTCCCAACTTCACGTGTTCTGTATCAGCTCGCAGTGACTCTATGACGTTGTGCAGCTCCTGCTTCACCGCCGAACTTAGCTCATTCTTTAAGGAGGCAAAATCAGAAGCGATTATACTTCTCATTTCTGTCTTTATTACCTCTGCTATGTCTGCTTTAAGTGAGAGCAAGACTTCGGCTTTCAGGGCCTCAGCGTTCGTCTCTGGCCCGGAGTCCAGTGGCGTTGCGGTTAGCATCGAGGCTATGCTAGGTGTTAGCTTAGCTGGTTCCTCGTTTTTGTTTTTCCGCTGCTTCGACGCCATTCAAGTCCACTTAGGTCCCTCGATTCGACTCGTGATGATAAGTTCGTCTTTACAGAGAGAGTTTACACGTATTTTTTCTCTATAAGAGCATTGAATTAACTTTAAGAGCCGTAGGTTTGACGGGAGCCTAAAGACAAACGTCTTACTCCATGGTCTGCTCTATAGCGCCCCCATCTTGATCCAAGGATTATTTTTTATTATTAATCTCGTTTGACTACATATTATCCATGAGTGCAGCTATAGCGTGCGCTCTCAGGACATCATTACCTGCAGTGTTCCCTCAGTGAGGACTGAACTAGACAAAAGGACCTTCTCCTACTCGGCTCCTGTTTCCTGGAACATCTTGTAAAAAGATCTGAAGCTCTTGACCTTTGACCTCTAAGTGGCTTTAAACAATTCATTCATTCAACCTTTATTTAGTCCCACTGAGCCTCGAGGACTCAAATCTGATCGTTCATGGCAAAAACCAATGCAGACATGTTCCTGTTTTTAGTATGTTACATCACTTTATAATGTAGCTGCTTTTTTGTTCCGTTTTTATATCGTTTTTTTATTACGTTTCATTATATATGTTTTTTATATGATTGTCTGTTGTTGTTTCATGTGTGTTCTTAGTTAAATCAGGTCTGTCTTGTTAATGAGTCCTCGAGGCTCAATGAGACTAACCTGTAGACATAAAGGTTGAATGCAGGCTCAATAATCCAGGTAGAAACATCTAACAAAGTTAAGTCAGGTCCTCTGAACAGATTTAAAAAATAACAAACTTGTTGAAGGTTTACCTTTCGTCTTTTATCCAAAAGACTTTGTCAGTGTGAGGAGCTGCAACAAACTCAGTGTTATAAGACTGATGAGAAGGTGTTATTTATAAGACTGAGTTTAGTGCAGCTCCTCACACTGACAAAGACGAAACGTTTCAACAATTGTTTTTAACCCGTCCAGAGGAGCTGCCTTTTCTTTGTTAGGTGAATAAAACTTTGTGACAGCATCTGCTGTTACTATAAACATCTAGTTAGACATGGTTGTCTTGGACACTGTATTGAATGAGTGAGTGGTAAACGTTCATCCTGTCCAGCTCCAGTCCAGAAAAACACTCGTCTCAAAAACGGCAAACTCCGACCCGTCAGCGACGTGCTGCTTGTTTATTTCAGCTCATTCTAGAATAATCCCAAGAATACGAACATGCACATTCATTTTGAGAACAATTTTATACCTGAGCTCCAAGTGCTGAAAACATTTAGAGCCAAACAGACCGCTGTTTTTAATTAAAATATTTAAACGTTCCTTTGTGTAGTAAAAATAATAAACTCCATCCTGAAAACAATTAGATAGTTTTTATAACAATCATGTAAATCAGCTCCTCAAAGTAAAACTTTATCAATAAAAGACTGCTGCTTCATTTTTGACATGGTTTGAATTTACCAACAAACTTCACGATCAAGAGAGAGCGCGTGTCAGGTGATGGTACCATTTCATCTCCTGTGACCTTTGACCCTACCACAGTGACCAATCATCTGCCAGGGTTTAGTTGTTTGATTCTGTCGTTTGTCGCCTCGTGCTCCAGGGGATGATGATCGACGAGGCAGACGAGTTTGTAGCGGGACCTCAAAACAAGAAAAGAGGAAATTCCAGTGATTCCAGCTCGAGTGCCACGATGAAGCGAAGGCGGAGCATGTCGCCGCTGCTGCGATGGCCACAGGCTCCACCAGGAAACACCAACCATGTGGTTCTAGGAAAGAGTCTGGCGGGGGTCCAGGGCCAGCAGAGCCCCCTCCAACACAAAGGTAACACTGATCAGCACAAGAAGTGAACCTTCTCTTATCTGGTATTTCTACATCTTTAAATAATTGTTTTAATGGGTGAACTGGTTCTGAGGTACTCTTTGTTTGAGCAGCAGGGGACGGCAGCAACATGGTGGCCCCTGAGAGCAACGGCGACAGCGTTCTCGGACTCGACTCCGCAGAGCTCTGGTCCTCTGAGGTGGACACAGAGGGGTCCACGTTGACTCCATCTTCTCTGGGTTTAGAAGAGAAGGTGGGGGCGGGGTGTGAAGAGGACATCGGTGTGGGGGAGGACACAGAGGAGAAAGATCACCTGGAGGAGCTGCTGGAGGACAAGCACAGCTGTGAACGTCTGAGTCCACGGAGCGAGGCGGACAGCACCGAGGCCGACTCTGCAGAGCTGGACGCCATTTTCATCGCCCCGCTGGACGGCTGTCAGGCAGAGCTGCGGGGCCGAGTCATCAAGGAGGTCCGCAAGCCTGGACGAAGTGAGTATGAGCCAGAGGTTTGTTACAAAACAACCCCCCCATTTGTTTCTTAGTCTGATTGAATAAAATGGGATCAGTCGACACTTCTGTGAAAACATCTGCATTTGTTTGTCAGACTACGAGGCGATCCTGGGTCTTCTGCAGCAGGTGAGAGGCTCAGTAAACCTGCAGAAGTACTTCATCCAGCACGCCATTAAAGAAGCTGTCAGGTAAGAAGCTGAGCGTTTGTGTTTAAAGCGTCACTGTTCAGCAAAGACGCGCTGTACTCACGGTAACAACTGTTGGAAATGGATTCATCAGCAAAAAGTACAAATATTTCAGGCGGTCGGAGGTTTGGAAGAACTTGACAAACTTTTCCACAGACCGTTTCTTCTGGCTCCCCTGATCCAAGCCTCACACTGAAATCTGTCCTTAGATGTCAGACTGCATTCAGGAAGTGATCAGTGCACGTGTGAGCTCCCTCAGTGTGCACTGAAAACCATCTGCCCCACTGAGCTGACGTGACACCATGAGGAAGATCAGCATGGCTGTCCCCGGCACAAGAGTTTGATTTTGATCCAAACTGCACAGACCCCACGGTTCGTTCGTCCTGACGGGAGTTTAGAGCCTGTTGTCTCGTGTGTTCACTGATCATGTGACCGTTAAATAATTCAATAGAAATCGGTACCGGAGCAACAAACACCAAAATCTGAATTGCGAGCAGAGAACATAAACAATCCAAGAACCCAGTTTGAGAGGTCCACCAGAACCCTGACTGTCAGGTGTTCATCTAGATTAGGAGTTGACATGAAAAATACAAGCCTCTGTAGTTTTAAGAAGTGCACGGCAGCAGAGGCTTTACGTTGGTTCAGACTGTTCAAATAAAGAGTCACGAGGAAAAGAAAAGCATCTCTTCAGTCTTTACGTTCAAGGCTGAGTTTTGATCAAAGAGCAGTTCTCAAACAGAAAGTGGCTTCATGAGGTCAAGTGGTTTCTATGGTTGAGTTATTAGTTGCAACATGTTTTACTGCTGACAAATGTTGAATATTCATGGGACGACTCATTTTTAATTTCTTAAAATAAAATAAGAATACGAAACGATGAATAAACACAAACTGTCCTCACTGATCCTGGACATGGCTCCACCCTGGTGCACTCCGTTTATTTATTTAATCCTGGAGCACACGCTGAGGAAACTTGTGGCTGGATTAGAGCTGTCGTTTCTAACCCGAGCCCAAAGCCCGGCCCCACCCGAATTCACGGCGGGCCGGGCTTTTAGTTAGGTCAGGATCAGCCACAATCCAATTATATGATAACATGGCCTGCCATACACCACCGGCCGCACGCGGCCCTTTCACTGTGAGCGAACCGGCCCTGAAAGAGTTAAAAAGTTCTGTGAAGCTTCAGCTGGACTGTACCGCCAGGAAGTGGTCACCGCCCACACGGACCTTCATTCAGCCGCGGACGCACCAACAGGTGAGCTCATAAATCAGAGCAGGGTCCGTGTCAGCCATGAAAGATCGATCAGCTCTCGTCTCCTGCCCCGCTTATTCAGCTGCGCGTCCCCGACCGTTAATAACTCATTAAAAATGTGGGGGGGTTCCGGTTCGGACCTGCAATTACTGTTAATTTGTCGGGTTGGGTCTTTTGGGCCCGAATGCAACACTAGGCTGAATCTATTTTATTGTGCAGCGAGGTCCAACACATTCTGGTACACGGAGCGTAATCTGCTCACACCTGCTGACCTCCATGTTTGCTCTGGAGTATAATCAGGATATAATCTGAGGCGGAGGTAAAGCTCACCGAGGCACTTCCTTCACCTGAACTCCACCGACTGTAACTTCCATTCACGCTCCTCTCCGGTCTTTCCCTCACTGAGTTTGTCTGTTTGGACAGGTTCAAAAAGCGGGTCTTGATCCAGCAGCTGGAGGACGCCCTCACCGAGCTGGAGGAGAAGCAAAGCGCGTGCTCCCAGCTGCCCAACCACCACGGGACATAGTCGACGGAGGAACAGACGTGTTGTGCTGCTGGTGAAGCGTCAGAGGACACATCTACCTCTGAGACGAGCGGACTTTAAAAATAACCTCTTCATATTGACAGATGCCTTAAACATCCATCTGGCTTTTGTCTGCACACACCGCTAAACAAACAAAACACTAAGCTGGTGGGGTCAGGAAAAGCAGACCTTCTTCAGCTGGTCTGAAAAGCATCTGAGTGACTTGTGCATTCAGGAGAAATCAGGTCGAACCAGATTCTATCTGCAAAAAGAGACCCTGATTTAAATGTTTTATTTTGCCTGTTGATGCTCTTATCTAATACTTGACTATTTATAGAGGCTGACGTGCGCTGGCATTACAGGTTGTGCAATATGGATGAAGTCTGAGCTTACAAGAGAGAGCAGCACAGATCGATCCATCTGTTAAAATCACCCAACATAAAGCGTCCGTCTTTGTTCCAGATGTAATGCAGCTGCATTTATTCAAATCTTGTCTCCAGCGCAGACCAGTGTTGTAAATGAGATAAAAGCTGCAACGTCTCGTAGCTCATACGGACATATGCTCGACCTCAGTCAAGTTTTCACTCAGAAAAGCTTAAAGGAATAGTGTGGCCGTATTAAAATGGATTTCTGTGCATTTGTTAATATCTTACCTGCTATAGATGGTTTAGTTTGGGGAAACGGAGTTCAGCTGAACAGGACTGACGAGTCAGCAGGAGGTGGTTCATTTAATCAGCTGCCTTCAACTGATTACCTCATAACTGATGTAGAATTTCTTGATATCTGCAGGCACGAGGAGAACCAGCAGAGCGTCGTCCACAACTTACTTTAGTCGGTCCAATTCAAGATGGCCGCCACAGCCAAGACGCCTTAAACATAAACGTCACTATTTTACAGATATTGAGCTAAACTTTGGTCTTTGCAGCCGAGTCTGATCCACAACTTTAACTCTGAACGCCAACTGATCACACAAGATCTGTTTCAAACAAGGACTACTGGAGTCAGCTCTCTGTTAGCAAAATATCTCCGTGGACAGAATGTGCTTATCGTACAAATACAAGAAGTGGAAGAAAACATCTTAATATAAACCATTTTTTCTTGGCAAAATACAGTTTTATCCTTTTGTCACATAACTGGCACATTTTCTTGTTAAACAGGAAGTGACATCAAAGGGGAACGCCCTGGGCTTTATTTATTGAAACAGTATTTGGAATTTCTCTCTGACGACTCAGAATAGTGTAAAAATATCAGACTCTTCTCCACGGTCTGTTGTAGCATGCAGGCATTCCCCTTTGACATCACTTCCTGTGATTGAGAAAACGTTAATGTCCGTCACAGCCGCGTACATTTTTAATGCGATGCATCTTTACAAAAATGCATTCATATTAAATTACAAAAATTTGATGGAACGGGCACTTTAAGAAAGTAATCGATAAGCTTCAAGGGTTAATTTATTTAAAGGTGGCCGCCACAGCTAATTAAACTTAACCAGCCTGAAAATGCTTTTAACTTGGTTAGTTTTAAAGATACTGAGCTAAAGTTTTAGCTCGTAGAAGCCGAGTCGTCCTCGACGCAGAACAGAATTTAGGTACGTAGTTTGGGTGAACCTCCATGAACGATCTGGAGAAAAGAAGTCGTTTTAAGACGAAAGCAATTCACTTGGACTTCCCTCAGACCGGCCTGTTGCTCTTCAGTCCAATCTCTGACTCTGAGGTTGTTCAAGAAGCTATCCACAGCAGGTAAGATGTTCTTTATTCCTTTTGCATAGACGCTCACTTCAAACTGGCCAAACTAGTCGTTTACAAGCTCTCAAGGTTTTTGTTGTTTCCAAGCACTCGAACTGTTTTGATCCTGACTGGGAATACTCTGCAGACCAACTCACACATCGTTCTGGTACCAGTCCGTATGTTTCTGTGGCAGTACTGGAGTCCTTCGCACGGTACGGACGCTTCGTGTCGTTTTGCTCTGCTGCTTGAAAACACATGTTCTGTTCGTACTGGACTGTTTCCAGTTCAACATCTCCTCCAGCTCCATCCTCCCAGCTTGACTCCAGTCTGCTGGTAATCTGCCCCTCCTTGATTTTATAAGTTCACTACTTTTTATTGTTCATAGAAGATGTTATTTTTGTAAGTTTATGTCAAAGTAAAAGAAATATTTTGGAGACTTCAGTGTGTCAGTGGTTTTATTTAACCATTTCAAACGTCCAGTTTGAGCTTCAGACTTTTGATTTGTCTGAATCGTGTTTTTACACGAGGCAGAAGACGTCGGGCGGCTTTTAAATCATTCTGACGTTAACATCGTGAACCTGTTCGACACCGGTTTCTGGGCTTTGTCCAATTTTCATGCTCGCTTCCTAAAAACTCTTCATCATTGAAGATCAGTCATTTAATGAGTGTTTTATCCATGATCAAATCCTACAAACATCCTGAAAGATTGTTGTCATTATTAGGGGCCCAACGATAAATCAGACGGATTCTCTTAATTTGGGGAAATCGGCACGAGAAACTGATTTTACAGATTTATTTTAGTTTTAACAATTGTCTGAACTTCATTTATATTTCAGAGCAGGACCTCACGGCCAGTTAAAACCAGTTTGTATTGTAGGATGTTGTTCGTGTTTTTCAACTAAATAATGTTGGAAAACAGAAAGTGCACTGTGACCTTAGAACACTTTGTCGCTTATAAAAACTCTGTATCGGCCAGAATCAGAATCTGCAGGTCAGATTATTTAGAAATCCGTGCGGCCTAATAATTAGCTTCAATTAAATGTGTGGGTCCTAAAACCTGCAGGGTTCAGGTTGTGTTCACTGCCACCTGCAGGTTGTTCTGCTGAACTTGGTTGCTCCGATGTTTCATGCAACAAGGCCACAGGTCGTTGCTCCACTTACTGAACCGAACGCTCGTAAACAAACATTCTGACAAAAAGACAAAGTTTAAGTGAATCAAATTGCAATCGGACTGATGAGCACAAAAAAGATCCTGACACAGAGTAAAATTATTAATTTTATTAAATTAAAAACATTATCCAATCTTGTAAAACTGAGGCAAAAACAAATGTGATTAATTCAGCCAGTCACAACAGCTGTTTCCTGAAATCCTGTAACATGAACAAAAAACCGTTTCCTGCTTCCAGGAAGTCGAGCGGGAGTCGTGTCCAGAGTTCTGTGAAGTAAAACTCGCTTCAGTCACAACAACTGACGACTGGTTAAAACGGAGCAGTAACAAAAACAGGCCGTTAAACTCGTGGAAACAAAATCTACTAACTGATTTAGTGAGAAGACTAAAGGCAGACGAGGATCTTCGGCCGCCCGTTATTCAGCGTATGTACAAGGAAAGGTGTGGAGGGCAGAAGGGTTGGCACAGTCAGAGCTGGGATAAGGAGGTGCACGCTTCATGGACAGAGGTGCATGTTAGTTTGCTAATAAATAAACTGAAGTGGAAGAAGGTAAACTCAGCCGGTCTCACTCTGTCTGACGGGAACCAAACCCTGCTGGGACAACGCTCCCGGCAGCAAAGGCCGTCTCAGTGCAAATGCTCCAGCTTGCGTAGCCTGATGGGGTTGGGGAGAGCCTGCTGGGGGACGGAGGAGGACTCCTCCTCCGGCGTGCGGAATAAAACTCGACCTCGATGGTTGAAGAGGTAGAACGACGGGTGGTTCCTCAGCGTGTCAAATGTCCTGAGCACAAACAGAAAATCAAACACTGGATTAGTTCACACAACGTCTCATCCCGTCAGTCTCCCCGAGCTGCGACTTGTTGCAACAAACGGATCGTTTCCTCTGCAGTCCACTGAACTGAGTGCGTGGCGACGCAAACGCTGAGCCACCAGGCGGCTCGGCGTTGGAAACTGAAGCCCGTTCCCGAGCAGAGCTGAACTGCACGACATTTACAAACATGGCGTTGTTGAGTGGTGGCACAGAGGTGGTGGGCCTGTGACGGGAAGGTCGCTGGTTCAACTTCCTACACTGACTACATCAAAATGTGGGTGGGAAAGGTGAAGCACCCAGTCCTGCCTCCACCCTCATTTGTCTCACTCTGGGCCCCTGAGCGAGGCTCTTAACCCCACCACCTGCTCCCTACACGTCAGCTCTGCTCCACACAGAGGGCCGTGGCAGCTCGGTGGTCTACGGTCGTGTCAGGAAGGACATCCAGTGTAAAAATAATAGTCAAGTCTTCGTACAACAGTTCACTGTGGCGACGCCTGAAGGAGGGAGCAGCTGAAAGAAGAACACATCGACCACCTCTGCCTGCATCCTGTCCATCTTGGCAGCTGTTTCCATGTTTAAGATTTGCTGGAATACACTTTAAAGATGAGCACATGTCTATAAAACTATTTATTACAGAGGCAGTGTGGGTTTTACACCTGGACATGTTTTCTGTCAGGAGCTCCTGCGACACGTCCCAGCACTCGAGAAGCAGACGCTCAAGCGATGAAACAGAATCCCACAACGATCTGCAGATATACTGGACTTCCTCATCAACGCTGTTGACAGTCACAGCCCTGAGAGGCTGGCCTCCCGCAAGACTTGGAACAGAAAACTTTAGAAGCACTTTGAGGTCACAGTATGTTTGTGCAGCAGGAGAACGCTGAAGAACAATCTGAGAGACCGAGCTGAAGGAGAAAGCCCAGGCTTTCTAAAACGTAGGGCTGCAACTAACGATTATTTCAATAATCGATTCATCGGACGATTAGTTTTCTGATTAATCGGCAAAAAACCACAACGTTTTAATTTCCACCCCTTTATTCCAAAATTGAACATTTGACTGACATAGAAATTCACACAAAAAACAGGTTGTTATTTGACTATTAGTAAAATATTGAATAATAAAAAATAAAAGTTAGTCACATAGCTTAAACTATTAATGTACACAAAAATATATACAAATATATATTTATACCTGCACAATATGTAATTTACTTTGTAAAATGTGTCCTTGAGGGAAGAGTGTAACCTGGATTAAAAGTGTGGATTATTGTAACCTGGATTAAAAGT